CTTCCAACCATTTACCAAATGTTATGATAGTAATTAACATCGAACTGGAATCGAAGTCTATATCACGACCGGGTTGATCCACAATCGAGTAATAGATGAGAGATGCAACTGAGTAGACATAGATAGTTGATGTCGCCAAAGCTATTAATACGTCCATATTGGGTCGATGACTTCGAAAAATAGCGAAATAACTTCCTCGATAGAAAGGATATCCTCCAATCAACTGAATAAAGGTTGCCAATATCCATTCTACTAAATATGCTACAGTTATTTGTGACTTTCCTAAACGTGTATTGACGCCACGAACATGATTCGCGAGACCAAAACTAAATATCATAATAGGAATAGTGAAAATGGCTGAAACAATGCATCGCAACAACAACTTGTTTGCTTCCATCTCCAACCTCTTTCTTAGTTGCGAATGATGAGCCTCCTTGCTTGTATTCCCACTCACGACGGTACACTCCAAGTTACGAGCATGTAGCAACCGCATCAGTCTTATTTTAGGATTGACATGTTCACCGTTCTTGCATTCCTTACTGTCACTTAATCTCCATTTCATCACTTCGTTTTCATCCAAATGTACAATTATTCGATAGGTCAGCATCTTGGATTTTGGAAAAAGCAAAGAAAAAGGAAAATGTTGTGTTGGTAATACGTGTTCTACGGTATCATTCATTATCATCGACTCTTTTTGGAAATGTTCCACTTCAGGTTGTTCTTTAAGAATCTGACAAATACTATCAGCAACGGAGCCATCAGTAACCTGAAGGCCAAATACAAGTTCTTCTGAGTCTCGCTCTGAATCAATTACTTTTGGTGTGGATACTTCGTAACCTAGAGATTCTATGGCTCTTTGAATCTCTTCAGGGGAAATCTTGTCTGCAATGAATTCGATATTGGCCATTGAAGTGATAAGACCAATTGAAACATTTACGATTCCATCATATCGCTTCAAACAGTTCTCTATAGCACCTACACAAGAAGCACAAGACATACCGGAAACTGTCGTCGCCAATTTGGCAGTCTTCTTCTCACGCTGCTTTTCATAAGTATCTCTGATCAACTTGCTTTGGTTCATCTTACCTGATATTGAAAGGATTGTGGTGTATCAGTTGATGATAGTGTACAAATTGGACTATCCGTACAGACTACAATTTCCTCTTCATCCATCTTTTGGAGTACTTCACATTGGGTTTTCTGCTCCTTGTTGAAATGACAAGACCGACAAGACAGATATGTTGCAAGTTCATCCACCGCTCTAGGAGACCCCGAGTCCTTAAAAACTATTTCTGTGAACGATAAAGCTTCATCAGAATGATCCTTCATTTCTTTCAAAGGAAGTGATAGGCAGCAACAGTTGGGTTTATTACAGCCGCAATTGTACCTTTTTACAATATTCAATGTTCCAACCTTTGGATTGTTGGTTGACTCAGCATTTGAAACAGAACTCAAGATACTACAGTCTCTGGAGACGTCTACTCGGAATCCAAGAGACACAATCTTTTCCAGTATTTCAGATTGTGATACAACACTTTCATTGTAAACAATTCGAAGTAATACCATCTCAGAATAGTTCTTTTGCACAAAGAAAACGCCAGTCGAAGAAGCGATCGACTCTACCAATTTATCTCGTTTACACATCTCCATAGTATTGCAATCCACCACAAGCTCCTTGGCATTATTACAAGATGATAAATTCTGGCAAAAGTCTGCGAAAGAGGATATTGCCTCCAATGGAATCCAAGCTCTACTAAAAGCATGGAAGATTTTTTCCAACGAATGAAAGCCCCAAATAGAATACAATTCTACTCTAAAACACCCATCATATGGATTATCCGAGAATTCTACCTCATTTACTTGCAATGCATTGTTCAGCAACGACGAAATCTTCTCTCTACAATGAGAACAGGATATCAAAGGACTCAAACGAATACGCGCATTGCGGACGTTCATAGAACTAGAACCAACGAAGTCTTCTTCTAAGTCTTGATAGCAAAGAAACCAATCCAAATCAAAGTCGATTTCTTTCATAGCTTCATTCATATCATCAAATACTACTTTACTTGCACTTTCTGCAAAAAATAAATGACTCGGTTCTTTAGGAAGATGGATATTGGTCATCCCAAGTTTTTCCTCTAAAACATTTCTTATCCAATCTTCGCGCATCTCAAGTTCCTGTAAGTCGTTGGTCAGCTTAAAGACATATTCAAATGTAGTATTTTGATCATCTTCAGCTGTAAACTCTGAACTCACTATCGCCTTTCCCAACAGACCAAGGCCCAACTCTAAAACACTAGTAACTTGTTTTCCGGTCTCTTCCTTTACTTTGGTTATGAAGTTATCAGCGTCAACTTCAACTGGAATCTTAACGACTACTAACTTATTTTCAATACTGGAATACACAAGTTGTCCACATAGTTTCTCAACTGCTCCCTTGACAACTTTCACACAGGAAGAACAACGTAAAGGCTCTATTTGCAAGAGAAAGGTTCTTTCTCTATGCAAAGTTTCTAAAGCAAAACAGGCAGATACAGTTTCGATATTTTCTAACTTTGTATTACAATTGGATATGGCAGACTCTAAAACGAAATACGGAGTTTCAGGTTGGGTGCAAACAGCTGCCAACTTTGTCTGCAAATCAACTGTTTCAACACTGACCACTTCTGATACCAGCTCAAACTCCTCTTTAAGCTTTCGGACACAACCGTTGCACTTTAGTCCTTCAATTTTCATCAAAACTAGGTCCATTTTGTCCTACAGAGGTACTTGCTACGCTCTTCTCACAATAGTGGGGAAAAGAGTCAGGGAATCAGCAAGCACCTACTTTTCACTTTAGGACTAATTTGTTTCCTTTTTATTCTCTTACAGAGCGTTCTAGAGCTATTCTGTGTAACCAGTGTATAATGCTGAACCGCTCTGGAAAGGAGTGCCTGTTGTTCTGGAATTTAAAAATTCGAGATATGATTGGTAGATTCGATCGATGATTGAGCTCCATGGAAGCTTCCAAGGCCTTTAAAAAGAGCTCTCATCACCTGCTTTCTTCATTTTATCTCAACATTTGTGTGAAAAGAACAATTGTGTAAAGCAACTATTTGATAAGAGATGGCAAGAAGAGTCTTGGGTGCTTATATGGGAGATGCCACTGTGGCTACTCTATTTAGTATTAAGATGTTGTTCTATCTTACTATAATTGGTAAGCACAAGTTAACGATAAAATAGGAGGTTTCAACATAGTGACTGAATGGTGCAATAGGATTCTCTATAACTATATTGGCACTTATGGGAAGGAATTCGGACGGTATTTGGATACATAGTGTACCACCTGCTGACGAATATTGTGCATACAAGTCATCCTTGCAAGTGAACCTGCAGGGAATTGCGTCATATTGTAAATATATTGTTGCTGTGGCTGCCATTGGTCTGGTTATTTCATTCCTTGAATTTTGCTACAGCTTCTTGGGCATATTCTTTAAATGGCAACAAAAGTTATGGTATATTGAAGGTGCCATCAACTTCTTCTTCTGGGCTTGGTGGTTGGTTGGTGCCATAGTTGCCACAGCTGCGAGACCTTCTACTGGAATGCTGAACCTCCACAACAATAGAACAGAAGTTAACGCAGTAGAAGCTCTGTTATGGGGCAATATGTGTCTATATTTCTTTAATGTGTTCCTGGTATTCTTTATCTACTGGGTTGGTGAGACGGGTGGATGGATACCAACTGTTGCAGATTATCGTGTTTTGACTTCTTTGGAAAAGGATCAAACTTTATCAAAAGGAGCTGACTTACATCAGGAAACTGCGTAGAAGAAATGTGTGACTAGAGATAATGAATGTAAAGGTTGTCATATAGTATGAGTTATAGTGATTTGAGTACATTTGTTCGCTTTACGTCTCTGTGAGTGACCACTCCTCGATGTAGTGTGAATTCCTCATAGAGAACGAAATAAATTTGTTGGACAATGATAAATATTTGAAAAAGTTGTCTTTTTAAAACTTTTCTTCAACTAATCCATCTTTGATATAATAAAATGTGGGAAATATAGCTTCATCTCTATATTTGGACATAATCAAACCTGCGTCTGGGTCACAACTCTTGCCCATGTAACTAAAAAAAAACATTCAAAATGAAATACGGCAGAACCTCACTATACTTACAACTCATAATCATCGAATTCTTTAATTAACTTTGGTAACCACGACTTCATTCCTTCCATAAACTTTTCCACTCTGTCTGGTTGATTCTTCTCCAAATACTCCTTTACTCTCTTACTATAACGCTTGATAGTGACTTGAAAATCTTTCTTGCTCATGGGAATTGGTTGCAAGGCAAATGACTCCGTT